CCTGCCCTGCCCTGCCCTGCCCTGCCCGGCTTTTAATCAGTTAACGGTCTATAAGAGGACCCGTTGGAATGAGGTGTTGAAAATCTGCACGTAAGGCAATCCATGCCAGTCAGATGCCCTCCATGGAGTCCAGGGTTCAAGTGGATATGGGTGAGCTCAAGATGGGGACTTGCTGACACTCTGATAAAGTCTGCGACTCTAGGAGAAAGTTGAGAGGCCTTTAACACAGAAGTAGAGATGCTCTTATTTAAACTCGGTGGGCAGGATGCTGAATCCATGTTTTATACCCACCCCCTGACTAGCCAAACTCAGTATTAATAAATGCCCAGTGAATTACTGAAGAACCAGAGATGTGTTTGGGGAAGAACTGTGCCACGTTCTGAGTGAAAGCAGTCTAGGGGGAGAAATTGCTCTCTAGGCCACCCAGATGGATGGCTGGGACATTCTGAGGCCCCGGTGTAAAAGGCAGCTGTGGCAGTTTGTGAAATAACTGCTGTTTTAAGGATAAGTGCATTTGTGCATTCGCATGGCAAAGGAATTAATTGAAGATTCTTCTTTTTAGGTTGGCTTTTAATAAGGGATGTTGATTTGTTCTCCTGGGGGCACGACCTCCATTTTGGCAGGCGTTGCAGGATAGACTGGATGCTTTGTGCAGGATAGACCTTCCAGCTGGGAAGTAACTAATCAATCAGTCTAACAAGGCTGTCCCAGAAGAGCGGTAGTTCTGAAGTCCGATAGAAAACAAACGGGTCAGTTGGTGGGTCATTGAGAGGCATGGGAAGAAGCAGGATGGAGCAGGTGGTTGCTTTTCTGCCAGTAGGTAAACCTGGTAGGGAGGGGGGAAAGCCACCAGTCCCTGCACTGAAACTGTGTGCATGTGACTTCAAGTCAGTGCTGACTCCTGGCAGCTACCTGGACTAGTCCCTGCAGGTTTCTTGGCAGCATTTTTGGAAGTGGTTTGCTCTTGCCTCCTTCTTCCCAGGGCTGAGAGAGAGGGGCTGGCCTGGAGTCCCCAGCTGGCTTGGAGCCCAAGGCAGGACTAGAACTTGCCATCTCCCAGCTCCTTAACCGCTACACCAAACTGGCTCTCACCCTGGCACTGCCCCATCTTAAATTTGTGAGGATACCACTCTGACCTCCCTGTGGAGGCCCAGTGGAGCGCCAGTAATGCTGGCCCCTTTCCCTGCCGATGCAAGGAGGCTGGATTGCACGCTAGCCCAGATGCGAGGAGGCACCCTAAGTCATGGACGGGTTGAGTAAGGGTCATCAAGAAGAAGAGGAGGGTTTGGGGCCACGGTGGCTTCCAAGAATAAAAGAGCGTGAAAGGTATTGGAGCAAACTCATTTGAGTGGCATTTCCTTTTCTTGTCTCAGACCTTTCCGTTCTTTGTCTTCTATTCCTTTCTGCCCTTTGCCCAGAGTTGCTAAACTGAGAGAAATAGCCTGATGAGTACGTGGGTGGGTGAGTGGCTGGGTAAGTAAATAATGGTCTGGCCTCTGTTCGGTGCATCTCATCCTTGGCTCGGTCTGGTCATCCTGCTCTTCAGTTTGTTCTGTGTGGATGCAAGAACGGACTTAGGGCTCACACAGCGTGCTCAAAGGAACAGACCTTGCCAAACACTGTGCCGGTTCCTGCACCCTGCGCGCGTCTTGTTCCCACCTCTCCGTCCCTGTCACGGAGCAGCACTTGTTTTCCTGCATCGCGCTCCTTCTGAAGGTTGCACAATTGCTCTCCAAGTCCTCCTCTCCTTCTTTAATTATCCCCATTCATTGGAACATAACATAAAACTGTCCCCACCCCGTGTGTCCTACTTTCCTGCTTGCGCACAATCGCTTCAGTGCTGCCAGCCCATAGTTGGTGGTGTGTGGTTTGCCCCTTCGACTCATAATACAGCTAACACCCGCCCTTTTGTGCACACATTAATCAACTCCACAGCATAGGCCACCATCCAGATTAGTGGATCCTTCCCTTCGTTTCAAACACCTGCAACATACCTATTTTTCTTTCTTCTGCTCAATTCATCCTTTTTACCACTCACTCCTTCATGGCATTGGGCAACCAAGGCTTATATGTTACATTTTTTAGGAAGATAACAGAAGGTATAGTTGGGGTTACCAGCTTTAATCACACGCAGGCCGTGGGCACCGTGGCCTGTTAATAGTAAAGACAGTCCTGGTAAGTGTGGGCATATGTGGCCAGCTGTTCTCGTGCTCTTCTGTGCAAGCTAGGATTTTGAATTGGGGGGCTACCTGGCACGCCAGCCAGCTTCCCACCCACTAGGAAGTGCATGCAGGGTATCGACCTGGGCAGTTGGAATTCACCCTTTGTGGCTGTCCATAACAGGGCTGACTCTTCCACTGAGCTGTTAACCGTCATCCCATCATCCCCTTTCCAGGTAGAGATCAGAAGCCGGGCCTGGACTGCCAGCATGTTGGCGGCTGCTTAGAAGGGGCAGCAGGTGGGAGGGCATTGGGTGGCAAGACACTTTGCCACCCAAAGCAAGGGGACCATCCTCAGCTGCTGCTTGTACCCCCATCAGACCCCATCCAGCCGGCATACTGGGTTCTCTAGGCACCCCCAGCATGGCGGAGGGGGAGGGGCAGGCAGCCTAACCCTAACCCTCTGTTCTTGCAGACTCTGGATGGTAGAGAATCCTGCAAACGCCTTGGCAGCTCAGGTAGGTGGGCGCCCGCCGTCTCCGGGTCCCCAAGCCACGGCTGCCTGTTCCTTCCCAGACCGCTTGGTCGCTCAGGGCAAGGAGGAGGGAGTGGCCGGGCCACGAGGGGGATGCACAGAAGGATCACCAGGTCCTGGCCTTGCCTGGGGCAGGAAGGGATGCCCGTGACCTAAGACCAGCTCCCCCAAACCCAGTCTGGCAGTTGTGGGCCCCCGGGTGTCCTCCCTCCTCCAGAGCCTGCAGGTCCTGGTCCTGCTCCTGACAAGGGGGGGCGGCTTCCGCACAGTCCTCCCATGTGCTGTGAATGAGCCTCTGTGGAGTGCTGACCACACTTCTGTAGGGCCGTGTTCCCGGAAGGCACCTGGCAAAAGAGAAGGGTCTCTTTTGACAGTCTTCTCTTTCCTCCCCTCAGTGCGCCAAGACCACGATGGGACTCCGGAGCCCTTGGTGCCCCACAGCCCCTCCGCAGGCCAGGAGCTGGGGCTGTTCGGTGAGGAGCGCAAACTCCAGCAGGCCCAACACAGCTTAGAAACCGCCGTCCCAACATAACGCACCTGCCCTCGGAGACTGTACGGACACAGCCGGGCCAGGGGGACGGAGTGGGGCACGTGGCCATTCGGCCCCTCAATGGACACGGGGGCTGTGAATCTCCTTGCGATGCACTGGGGCAGGTTCTGACAAATCAGAGGCAGAGCATTAGGGGTGAGGGAACTGATGGGATGTAGCGTCTGTAAATAGTGGATGGGTAGAGGACGGTGCCGAAGCTGCTTCCATTTGGCCATCAGCTGCGGTTGCCAGAGACCAGCCAGACGTTGGCCAAGCAGCAGTGGGGCCCCTCCTGTGCCCCGTCCCCCACCTTCCTTGGTCCCAGGCAACGGCCAGGAGGGGCCTCACGACGGAGGGGCTTGCAGTCACCTCCTGCCTTGTCAGGTGGGCCCCGGTGTCTGGGCAGGCAGAGAATAGCCCGCCTGTCTGTTCATGAGGTGGGGGGGATGCTCGGGAGCTGCCATGCCAGGCAGGGTAGAGAAGCGGGGAGCCGACGTAGGGGCAGGCTAGTCGCATTAGGTGTGGTGATGCAGATGTTGTGGGGTTGGGATAGAGTGGGGGGAAGGGGCGTTGGGGCCCCAAACGGAGTCCCAGGATTGGGGGGGTTGCACCTCTCACCAGCCCAGAGCCGTGCTTTGCGGCCTGGCTTTGGAGCTGCCAGGCCATCTGGAAAGAGGGGCAGAATGGCTCTGCCCATTGGTGTGCTCGTAGCCCACTGTGCAGGCTTGTCAGTCGCACGCAGGACGGGGGATCTCTTATGCCAAATTGGGAAGACTCGTTTTAACAGAATGTGTGCGTTCGGTTTTAGGAAGGTAGAGAGAGAAGGTCTCTGTCTCTTTTTCTGAAGCTGCAAATGTGGCTGCTTCGACATCAACTGTTAGAGCTTTTTGTTTTTAAACTAATTTTAGCATTTGCTTTTAATAAGCAACTTGGGAGTGATCAGGCAGGGTTTCAGTGACTAACTAACTTATAGGTGCTGGGCTGTGATACATCTATCCTCTCCCGGGATAGTCGAAGGGAGATCAAGACTGTAACTAGTGACATTTGTACAACCAAAGAAATCTATTTTGTGGTTCAATGACAATAAAGTTTACTTTACCTTTTAGAGCCCCTGATTCTTCCCTGACTTAGCAGGGCCCAACTCTCTAAACACTTCTCCCTGAAATAAGGCCAGCCTTGGGGGCCACCCAGGGAGGGGACTGTGCTCAAGAAGGGATTGTGAGCAGCAGTTGAGTAAAGTTTGAGAGCCCGCGGCTTTAAGTGAACCCAAGAAGATAACAGGCCTGTGGCAGTGGAGGAACGGCACGGTGGAAGAAGTGCCAGACGCGCCATCTGAGCCTTGAGCTGGAGTCACGCAGGCTGTCTTTGCACGATGTGGCAGGGCCCGGGGGTAGCAGATGTAGAATGGGATGCTTGGCTACTTTGACGCCCATCCTCTGGTGAACCCAGCCCATTTCGTTAGTTTGTGGGTCGGGACCCCGGGTATCCAGGTGGGCGGGGAAATCTCTTCTGTGCTTCCTCATCTGTGGCCCTTTTGAAGGAGGACGCTCTGCTCTGGGAGAACGTGTCCATCCCGAGAGCACGAGTTTATCTGGTGGTGGCGTGGCGCAGGTTAGTCTTCTGCCTCGTCCTAAATCTCTTCTGTTGGCTTCAGAACATTAAGTGGGGGTAGGAACGCTGATCAGAACCGCCAGTCCGAGCCGGAAGGGCCCTAGCAGACTCACAGCCGGATCCAAGCGAAAGCATCCCAGAGGGGGGCTGTCCAGGGGCTTTGGCTATTAGGAGCTTTTCTCTGACGTTCAGCTGGACCTCCTGCCCCGTGACTTCAAGCCTTATCCTGTATCCCAGAGTCCAGACCTCCTCCTCTGTGACTTCCTTTCAGGTATTTAAAGAGCCCTAATACATCATCATCCCCTGTTGCTCCTCAGAGCTAAACCTAGCAAGGGGCCCCTTCTCTCTGGAAAATATAATTTCTGGTCCCTGGATCACCCTTGCCGTTCTTCAATTGTGACGCCCAGAAGTGGGCACATGTTCAAGGTGGGGTCTCTCCATTACTACTTCCCATGATTTGGAAATTACATTTCTGTGGATCCAGCCCAAAGCACGTTTGACATTTTGGCAGCCTCCTTAACAGTTTGCAACCCCCAAGACAGGCGGTGGCTGTCCTGTGGCTGTGCGTAAGTGAGGGAACTTGGCTTTGCCTGCTGCTTTTAGCCCACCGCTCTGCTGCACAGAAACCATTCTGCCTCGGGGCGAGTAGCCAGCTTGCAGGGGTTGCATCCGCCGCAGATCGGATGCGCGTTCCCTCTGCCTCTTCGCCTAAGCCCCTAAGGAAAGCACTGAAGCCGCTCGGCAGGTCTCCAGCAAGGCGCCTGTTCTTTGGGCCTCTGGAAACGGAAGTCAGCGGCTACCGGTCAAAAGGAGTTGCCGGGCCTATTTCTTTTTCTGGGCTTCAGCCGGATGATGGAAGGAGGCCCCCCACCCATCACAAGCAGTCTAGCCTTCCCCAGGTGCACGTGTGCACACCTGCCCCTGTTAGTTTGCCCCAAGGGCCAGCTTCCCGCAGGCTAAATTAGGCTGGCTATTGCCTTGCCGCGCCTGGCAAACTAGGTCAGCAGATTAAGCCATGATGCGGTTTCTTTCTGTGACCGTCTCACTGGCTACGAAGATGGGAGTTGTTTTGTTAAGGGGTTACCATTGCAGCGGCAGGTGGCCAGAGGCCTTGGGAAGCCACTGTGGCCCAGGCAGGGCCGCTTCGTATGGCATGGAGAGCCATTCCGGGA